CAGGACAGGGGTGTCTTGTTTGATTTCACTCAGAGTTCTCTGGAATTTCATTTCAAGGCATTGGGTTGTTTTAACTCCCTCTAGGAAGCCAGTGGAGTCCTGGTGTGGTGCTGTAGGATCAGCACTGGACTACAAACCATAAGGTTGGTGCTTGAAACTCACCAGTTGCTCCTTGGAAACCCTAAACAGGGTCGCTATGAGTTGGAACCGACTCAACAGCACTTAACAACAACAACAGAAAACCAGTAAGAGTCTCTGGATGATGCGAACTGTTAATGGAAAGATTAGAAGTTGAAGTTCACCCAGAGAGAGGGGTCTCAGAAGAAATTCCTGGTGATCTATTTCTGAAAACTCAGCCACTGAAGATCCTATGGAGCACAGTTCTACTCGACACACATGGAATCACCATGAGTTGAAGATGACTCCATGGCAACTACGGGAAGCTAGAAAGGTCAGTATGCAGCTCTGGAAAAAATAGTACCAAAGAGAAGCGGTGACCATCTGAGTTGAGGACACTTAGGGACAATTGCTTCTTCTCTTTTTCCAAAACATTTCCTGAACACCTTCTATGTGTGGGGTGCACAGTGCTAGGAGATAAGGGGACCAGCATGAATAAGGACCCCCTTCTAGGAGCTCATAGTCTACATGGGAAAGAGCGGCATGAAAACAAAGCATGCCATCATCCATCTGTGGTGGAAACTGTGGAGCCAGGTGCCGTGTTAGCACAATGGTAGAGGGGATATCAAGTAAACAGCATTTTCAGAGCTAGGAGGTAGGAACTGGAGGGTTGTATTTAAGGAACAGCACAAAGTGCTGTCTAGATGACTATGAAGTGGGAGGCAGGAAGCTCCTGAGGGGTGGGGTCCAGAGGTATAGCCTGTTTACCTTGTCTCCCATTTAATGGTGATAAACCCCAAGAAGGCCACATGCTATCTTTTCAACTTGCTAAATCCTCCAGTGGCAATTATTGCATACTTTACGGACCTCCATTAAGTGCTCATCTAAATTGATGAGAAGTCTTTCCCAGTCTTACTTTGGAAAGTCTCCCACGCTTACTTTGTCTCACTGGGTATTGTTAAATGATGAGGGCAGATGAGTCAGTTTTGTGACTTGCATCTCGCCTTGTGTGTGATGAGATCTGATGCAGATTTGAGTACAGACAGAAAGTTTTTCTCCTGCTGGGTCCCTGGTATGAGTTCATTGTAACCCTATCAGTGTATTTCTCTGGATTGGGAAATGAGAGGGTGTTCAGTTGAAGCAGGAGCCTCTGGTTAGTGCAGAAGATTGATGTACTTGGCTTCCATCTGAAATGTTAGCAGTCTGAGCTCACCCAGAGTTGCCTTGAAAAACGCCTGGTGATCTACTTCTGAAAATCCTATGGAGCCCAGTTCTGTTCTGACACATCTGGGATTGCTGTGAATCAGATGTAAAGGCAACTGGTATTGCCTAGTTTACTAACATGTTATCAGGAGGGACCAGTCCCTGGAGAAGGATAGCATGCTTGGTAAAGTAGAGGGTCAGTGAAAAAGAGAAAGACCCCCAAAGAAATGGATCCACACAGTGGCTGCAACAATGGGCTGAAACACAGCATCAGTTGTGAGGATGGCACAGGACTAGGCAGGGTTTCATTGTTTCCTACATAGAGTCACTATGAGTCAGATCCAACTCTGTGACACCTAACAACAATGAGTAAGTTGGAATGTACTAATTATACAGGCACAGATGACTCATTAGTGAGCCCAGAAAGGTGGGCTCCCTTACTCTGTTCTGCCACCTGAGATCTGACAGGACATAACCATTGTTAGGTGGCTCCGTGTAACTACACAAAGAAAAAAAAAATAAGATTGATGCTATAAAATGTCATTTATCTTCTTTCCCAAAATGGAAATAAACTCCAGGTTACCTGAGATGCTGCATGTTTTAATGACTATAAAAAAATAATGTTATTTTGTTAAAAAGAAATAAAATTTTGAAAGACTTCATCATAGATGTACAAAACAGACATCCTCTTCAGGTGTACCCATCATGAGGCTACTCTTGTGAATAGCTGAGAATGCCTTGCAAATAATAACTCATTAAACTCCCTAACCTCCTTTGGAAGAAGCTAGAAGCAACTTGTAGACAGCTTCCTTCTCATGCAGTAGGGAGTGTTCCTGCTGCCTGGAAGAAAGCTTAAAGGAATGGATGCCCATGCAGGCTGAGAGTTTTATATTTTCATGCTGTCACTCAGTAAAGTCAGAACAACTTTCTGATTGCAGGCCACTTTCCAGTGGGCCCAAACCCTGTTTGTCTTCACTGAGCCCCACTCTAGGCCAGGGTCTGTGCTTGGTACTGAGATCCAGAGGAGAAAACTTCACTTCTGTTTTTAAGGGGTTTGCATCGCTTAACTGGGTCATCTGGTTCTGAGTCTCCCACAAGGCTGCAAAGTGTTGGTGGGTGCTGTAACCTCATTCATGTAAGGCTTCACTGGGGAGAAAAGATCTGCTTCCATATGCATTCACCTAGTTGTTGGCACGATTCAGTTCCCTGAGGGTTGTTGGGATGAGAGGTCTCACTCAGTTCATCATTGGCTGTTGGCCAGTTCCTTGCCATAACAGTTGACTTCATTACAATGAGTGCACTTAAGAGCAAAAGAGGTGAGGAAGAGGAAAGCCAATTTTTTTTAATTCCTTTTTATTAGAAGCAAGATACCTGGTCCAGTCCAAACTCAAGGGGAGGGCATTACAGAAGAACATGAATACCAGGAGGCAAGGATCATTGGGCACTATCTTGAAAGCTGTCTACCACAATTCACACTGCCACCCCCTTTCTCTTTCTTCTCCTCTGTCACGGTTGATAACTGCAGCTGCATCCTCTTCATTACTGTCATTATCATCACCACAATCATAGTGAATATTTATTCTGTACCACACATTTTCTATACATGATCTCACTTATCCTCTGTATAGCCCTAAGAGTAATTACTATGATTCCCATCTTACAGATGAGGACACTTAAGACTCATAGATATGCTCTGATTTGTTTGAGGTCACACAGTCAGTAAGAGGCAGAACCAGGAGTCAGACTGAAGCTTAACTCCAATAGCCCCACCTCATCCAGAAAGCAGTGTCTTTAGAGATTTACAGTCTTGGGAATTCTAAGGAGCACTTCTCCTCTATCCTACCAAGTCACTGTGAATTGGAATCAGCTCAACAGCAGCATGGTTTTATGTAGATAAAGGACAAGGAGCTCTGATGATACAACAGTTAAGCACTTACTGCTAACCCAAAGGATAACAATTGGAACCCACCCATCAGCTCCATGGGAGGAAGACCTGGTGATCTGCTGCCATAAAGATTACAACCAAGAAACCCTACGCACCAGTGAGACTTTATCACTTGACAATGAGTCAGAAGTCAACTTGACAGCACCCAACAATAGATAATGGACAACCAGTGAAATCCGACTAATGCTTGTATGAGGAGACTTCAAAAGTACATAGAGAAAAAAAAAAAA